GATGGAGGCAGAGTTGGAGGACGAGAGGAAGCAGAGAACTCTGGCTGTTGCCTCCAAGAAGAAGCTGGAGATGGACCTGAACGAACTGGAAGGACAGATTGAAGCTGCGAACAAAGGCCGTGATGAGGCTGTTAAGCAACTCAAAAAACTACAGGTCTGTGGAACTGCTTCTCCAATGGTATCAGTTTTTGAAGGGACACTTTGACGCTCTATACTGTTAATAAAATGTGTTACCGGTTTTAATGGTGTCCGCTGTCCGTGTTAATTAGCAGGTAATGAGCTAGATGAAATACCTTACTGCTATCTTCCTGCTCCGCATTGGGTCTGCACTGCAGGCTCAGACGAAGGACTATCAGAGGGAGCTGGAGGAGGCCAGAGCCTCCAGGGATGAGATCTTCACCCAGTCCAAGGAGAACGAGAAGAAACTCAAGGGCCTGGAAGCAGAAATCCTGCAGCTACAGGAGGTCAAATTGCAGATTTTCTTTTTGAGTTGAAAGTATGAAATCAGCTTATTGTCTGTCATGAACTGTTAATATGTATTGTATTCATGACAAGTGACAAAGTGACCTGAACAGCAACTTATCATCAGACTTGTTCCAGTCGGACTCTATTTCCGTACTCTCATATAAATGAGAGGGCCGTCCGAAGATCCTCATGTGTGTTCTGTGTTGTTGATGAAGGACCACGCGGCGTCCGAGAGGGCCCGTCGACACGCTGAACAAGAGCGGGACGAGCTGGCTGAGGAGATCTCCAACAGCGCTTCTGGAAAGTCAGTGTTGCTACTGATATTTCAAGTGACTTAAAAATAGATCTAACTTCAGAATTCCTGCATTAACTCTGAATAAAACATGTTTGCGTGTGTGTCAGGTCGTCACTGCTGGAAGAGAAGAGGAGGCTGGAAGCTCGTATTGCCCAGCTGGAGGAGGAGCTTGAGGAGGAGCAGGGGAACATGGAGCTGCTTAACGACCGTTTCAGAAAGACCAACATCCAGGTAAATAGACTTTGCATGTGATAAACTTGGGTCCAAAGTGCTGCTTTTATCTAATGTCGCACAACATCTCCTTTCCTCAGGTGGACACTCTGAACACCGAGCTGACCGGAGAACGCAGCACCGCCCAGAAGAGTGAGAACGCTCGGCAACAGATGGAGCGGCAGAACAAGGTCTGGAATAGTTTGTTGAATACTTTAGCTTATAAGATAATTAATAATAGGTGTGCTTGAGGTTGGATAGAACAGCAGAAAACATGATGTCCTTGTATCCTCACAATCATAAATGCAGGATTTGAAATCCAAGCTGGCAGAGCTGGAAGGGACTGTGAAGTCAAAGTTTAAGGCGTCCATCACTGCCCTGGAGGCGAAGATCCTGCAGCTAGAGGAACAGATGGAGCAGGAAGCAAAGTAAGTGAACAAACTCACATCGTTACAAGACATCAACTGATGAAACACCATCGGAGAGTGTTTCTGGTCAGCTTTTTGGATACACATAAAGGTTAATTTTATAAATCATAAATAAATGATTTTGACATTTTAGAGACATTAATGGGAAAAAGATTTTGCTGCTTTTGTGCCAAAGTGCTAAACGGTGAGTACAGACGGAGTGAGCTCTTGTTTTACCAGTCTCTTTTTTGATCTTGCAGGGAGAGAGCAGCTGCCAACAAGATCGTCCGTCGTACGGAGAAGAAGCTGAAGGAGGTGATGATGCAAGTGGAGGATGAGCGTCGTCATGCCGACCAGTACAAGGAGCAGGTATTGACTCACGATATGCGAGAGATTCACTTCTTCTCGGGACACTGATTCACCCACGGCCTCTCACCGCCTCCGTCTGTCTCCCCATGTGTCCTCCTGGCAGATGGAGAAAGCAAACTCTCGCATGAAGCAGCTCAAGCGCCAGCTGGAGGAGGCGGAGGAGGAGGCCACCAGGGCCAACGGGGCCCGCAGGAAGCTGCAGAGGGAGCTGGACGATGCCACAGAGGCCAGCGAGGGTCTCACCCGAGAGGTCAACACCCTCAAGAACCGCCTCAGGTACGAGCCCCTTAAGGGCCCCTTTCACAAAACACGTCAAGAAAATAAAACCCAGACATGTGATGTGTATTTAACTTTAACTTGTCAATTCGTTTTACCTGCAATCAAAATCCCAGACTGTACGAACACGTTTAGCACGTCGGCTTTCTGCTCGTATTCTTTATCCCATGTTCCACTTGTGTTGTTTTGAGCAGGCGCGGCGGCCCCGTCAGCAGCTTCTCCTCCGGCCGCTCAGGCCGCCGAAACCTCAACCTGGACGGGGCCTCCGTCGACATGTCCGACGACGACGCCGACAGCCGCGCCGGTGACTTCAACGAGACCCAAACCGCCAACGCTGAGTAACCGTGGCGACCTTCTCCGTTTCTCGCCTTTTCCCTCCCTTGTCACCTACCCACCTCACCCGTCTGTCCTCGTCGCTTCCATCGTCTTTATTCATTTCAAACCCTGGCAAGGACAGAAGAGTGGAGCAATGCTTTTGGTGGTGCTGGGTGGAGTCTGCCTGGCAGCCATTTCTTTGTAGCGGCTAACCACTGCAGGAAAAATCTATTGCCCTTCAGTCCCGAAGAATCACATGGGCAAACAAACAATTCTGCTTCGCTTGTCTCCTCGTCATGAGGTAATACTCTCCCTGCCATCAGGCGTCAAGTTACCTGCTCAGCTTATTGAGAAAGCTTTTATACATGTGAGATTGCAGGTGGAGGCTGTTGAGTGTGCACGCGCATCACGGATGGATTGAAGGACTATAAGGAAACGTATTACACTTTAGTGTCGTTATTAGCATTCTGCTCACAGGTTGTGTAAAAGCCACTGCATTTCCCCCCCTCACCCTTTCAAAACAAAGGTCACTGTGGGCTTTGGGACAACAGCTGCTTTAGTTGCACAAGTCTCACTCTGATGTACGGACTGTTTGCTTCAACACTACAGGAACGCCGAACACCTCGGGACGCGCAAATGAAGAACAGACGCTGGTTTTGAATTTTATTTTGTGTGTTTCATCTCAACATTGAATGAAAGAATGTCTCGCTGGGTTTTAACTAGAAATCTCAGCTCACGCGGTTAACACGTTTTGCATTGTTGACCATTGTCGCTATTGTGGGTCGGCCTGAGCCGAGAGAGATGCACAGAAAGATGTTTTTCTTTTTAACTGGAAACCAACTGCGAGAAAAACTACTTGCTGGCAGCACTAATGGTGATTGAGTATGTGTTAGCGATTTAAATCAACCGCTGTTCCTACAGAATCTTCACTTTCAAACCCGTTTGGGTTTTAAAGACATTCAGTGTTTTGAACAGTAACAACCAACAAATGGGCAAGAAATTGGTTCAAACTGGTTAAAATCTATAAAACTGCTAAAGAAGAAAAAAGTGTTTTTAAGTGTCTTTAAACTTGTCAGCTCAGTGACTCATGTGAAGCACAGCCGCCCCCTCGACAGGTGAACCACTAAAACCCTCATTCTTCTTCATCACGGATGGATCTGCTGATTGTGTTCAGCGGACTTCTAGTTAACAGTATGTTTCTTTAAAAGTGCCTTAGACACTGAATAAGAACATGAGTGGGCAACGATTGTGTGAAACAGGTACATCGAGCAGAGACTCATTTCTGTTGTGCTACATATCATAGTGACTGTAACTCCATGTTCAATATAACATCCTCGCTTCAGTGTTTGGGTCAAAATCAGTATTACAGAATCATTACATTAATAACACGAGAAGATGAGCCGGCTTCCAAAAACAAAATGGTGTACTAAGATGTACTTTATTGATTACAGTTTCAGAATCATGGCTGTATTCTGGTGTACACTATATGCATTTTTATTAATTTTATGAACCGGGTCGTATATTTGTTTCTAATATCCTACACCGTGTAACCAAGTCTCAGTACTGAAGCTATTTTGGGAAACGATGGCCGCTACAGGATTCTATTTGGTTGAGAGCTTTAACATCCACAAGTAGTTAACGCAATCTTTATTATTATTATTATCCGGCTGATTGTTGACAACCAGGCATTCAACTGCAAATACTCCCATCCTATTATTTCTTGTATTTCTAGACATTGTTTGTTTTTGTATGGAAAATAAAGCGTTTTCATTGTAGCTGTATTCATTTAAATCAGTCTCTACTCTTTTGGTGGACTCTTTTCTACAATCGGATAGTGAAATTTTCCAAATAACTATAAAAGCTCTGTTCCATTTCTAATATTAGAATTAAGATGTATAAATCATAATTAACAAATATTGCATTTATTGCCAGGTACTTTATCACAGAGCTTCACTGGCTACCGGTAGCTGCCCACATCCAGTTCAAAACATTGGTGCTCACGTACCATGCTGTGAATGGATCGGGTCCAGCTTACATCCAGGACATGGTGAAAGCCGACATCCCGACCCGCACTCTCCGCTCTGCATCTGCAAAGCTGCTCGTCCCTCCCTCACTGAGAGCAAAACACTCGACTAGATCTCGACTCTTTGCTGTCCTTGCTCCTAAACGGTGGAACGAGTTCTCTGAAGACACCAGGACCGCAGAGAGCCTTCACGTCTTCCGCCACAAAAGACACACCTCTTCAGACTCTACCTCGACTAAAGACTAACAAATTAAATTATACTTTTAACACCACTCATCTATAGCAAATTGGCTTATTTGAGGAAATTGCACTTTGTTTCTTGTTCCGAGTCTGTATTCTTATGGTTGAATGCACTTATTGTAAGTCTCTTTGGATAAAAGCATCAGATAAATGACATGTAATGTAATAGAGCTGATATTAGTTTCTTTTACTACAGTTACTTTTGACTCTTAACGTAATCTGCTTGGCAGTGTGTCATTACAACTTTTTCCAGCATGCCATACGAGTCTTTTGCCAGCTAATACCCCTTTTATTGCAAACTAACTGCATTTGAGAAATGTGTTCCTCTTACACATAAAACCTTTAAAGAGTAAAGTAAAATATCTTGTGGAGATCTCATTAAAAAAAAAGAAAAAAAAACTTGTCATGAAAACCACCAGTTTTGTTTAATTTAACAATTGACACACAAAAATAATCTACAAAAGACCAAATTAAGTAACCAGTTAACCATGAAATGTCATTTTTATCCTCCCCGATCCCCAAACAAGGCACAATTTTTAAGATGTCTCCCCACTGCTCCAGTCACATGACTTCACAATGACATCCTGAAGGCCCACACATAGACACTCATGGGGGGGAGGGGGGGGGGGGTGTAATCACAGGCGCACAGTGACCAGCCGCACCCCATCTAAGTGAGCTACAGAACAATCTTTGGCGCCATTCTCGGTGCAGCTGGTCAGACGGACACACGTGGAGGAACCAGTCGGGTGGGGACGGGAGACTCAGGAAGAACGGTTTAGTTAACGGAGGTAATCTCTCTCTGCAGGTTTGTTCAGACAGAAAAGTGCATTTTGGCACAACGACTGATTCTGTGGGAGCAGTGACGCGTCACGTCATTCCAGAGAGGTCAGCGCCACGCCAGCATGAAGCTGCACCGGATTAGCTGAATCAATTTAGTGTTAATATTGGACTATACGTTGATGCAAGAGGTTGTGAGTTTGCAGCCATGTTCCAAACGGTTTGTGTTTTGTAAGTGATTAACAAAGAGGGCGACGTCGTCCACGTCAGCCGTCCTCGATTCTGTTTTCCCCCCAAAGTCTCGTGCTGCTTGCAATGACTGTTTGAACGACAGGACGCGAATGCGGGAAAACTTTTCCCCCACAATTTTAACACCGAATCGCTTCTTTCAATCGACTTTGTGTACAAACCGGTCACAGCATTTGCTTCCCTATCTGTCTGAACACGCCCCAGAAAAAGTGTTGATCGACAGGACATCTACAAACATTTACAACTCCAGAGACGCACCGACTAGTTGAGTAGAGGCTGAAAGCCAAGCGACGACTTGCACTTTTGCATTGAGCGTTTTACAGTCCTGCATAGATCTTCTTCATACGTTTCAATACAAACTAAGGCGTTGTGTTATATTAAGTTGGATTGAGTTAATAAGCAGAGAAAGAAAATAGATCCATTTTAGCTTTAAAAAAACAAACAAAAGTAGGCTACAATCTTGACGTGTTTCCCCTCTCTCACAGGAGGCTCCTCTCCTCACAAGAGCCCAAAACTTTCTCAATTCAAGTCTTTTTTCCAGAAAAGGTCCAGTGTGATTAAACAGCACCAAAACACACTGAGCAAGAGAGGGGCATCAAACTTACGCTCGCTCATTATTGTGACGAGAAGGTACGCGCCTCGGCCCAGCCATACAGAATCATCTGGAAAGAGATTAACAGTATATTGTGTTTTTTTATGTACATACACACTCAAGTCAACTTCACCACGCACGCTCTCTCTCTCTCTCAGTGTCTGATTCTCTCACACACACACACACACACACACACACACACACACACACACACACACACACACACACACACACAACATGTTTTTGTCCCTGTGTAAATTACAAATAATTTATCTATATATCAATTCAAGCTACTACTTAACAGTCATTTGTGGGAGCAGAGGTGACCACAATAAAGTTTCTACGGACACTAAGTTTCCCACATCTGAGACCAAAAGACAATGAAATAATCTTTTTTTTTGTACTGCAAGAACACGTCCGGTTATTTCACATAAGCTTAAATACAACTTATATTAGCATACTACTACTCTAATCTGTATCACCACCTCGCTCACGCGCATTCCACAGTGATCCAGGTCGGTCATATGTAAACATGTTGACAAAAAAAAAAAAACTGAACAAAAATAAAAAGGTTTTCTCGTCATTCACTCGGCCTTGTTCTCATACCCGGTTCGAAAATACAGTTAAAATAATGAATCATTGCCACTCCGATAAACTGATTCTGCTTTAGGTCCATTTATAAAAGAGGCAGTGGAGCCCCGCCCTCTCGTCCTGTATCAGTCAAAGTGAAGATTCCTATTGGTGGATGTGTCCAGGAGGCTGTGATGTCACCCTGCCGGTGGGGGCCTCCTGTGCGGTTATTAGTCAGTGGGGTTTCCTCTTCATGTCTCCACCCTGGCTTTGGTTCGCATCTGAGTGGAGAAGATTTAGACGACTCAATGAGGGTATCACCAGCTACACTTCCATTGAAGCGCACACTCTCTGTGGATAAACATCCACTTTATGTCACGTTCAATTCATCCAAAATGCTGATTTTATGCGCATCGTTTCGTTCCTGAAGGGTTCTGATGGCGGCACTTTAATTCAGCTACACATGAAGACACAAACATTCATGGTGCACATCAGCTCCAAATGCTTCTAATATGCCATGCAACTAGTTTTGGATGTTATTCATGCTGCCGCTGTCAAATCTCAGAAAATAGAGGACCAACACAACGCATGCTGAACACTAAATAAACTGAAGCTAGCAGAACGTTACGCAGCAAACAACAAGCAGAGGACGACGGGTCGATTTGACGGACAGATGGAGGAATGCAGATTACCTGAGAAAGCAAGCTGCAAGTGAGGAGGTAGAGCAGCCTGCGACCCTGACTGGAGACTCTTATACAGATCTGAGGAGAGACGGAGGGGAGATGATGAATCAGAGATGGGCAACGAAAGAGGGTCAAAGTCAGGGGGCAGCAAGACGCGCGCGCACACACGCATCTTCTTATTTCTTACATCTATTTGGATTTTAAACTACAGCCCTGTTATCGTCACATTCAATTAAACTAATTAAGTTAATACGAAACAGTCAAAAATATTTGTTATGTTTTATATGACTAATGAGTTTGTTCGTTTTCCAAATGAGCCACAGCTGAGTGAACCTGCATGTGAATCCATGCAATGCAAGATGCTCATTAAAACAAAACCGTACAAATTATTAAATCTATTTTAATTGACCAAAATATTAGGGGGAACAAAACAAACTTGATTATACTTTGATTGTGGTGAAATGATATATTCTCGTTGTCAATGAATCCCAGACCATCAATAAATTCATGTAATGTCTTTTTATCTAAAATTGGATAATGTCATAGAACAAAAGCGTATCAATGAGTGATGTGTTCCTTCATATAAGATGGAAATATGCTGTGTGGTTTATTGTGATTTGATCCAACAATCCAAGAAAAAGATTCTGCTTCTCTAAATACTTGCATGTCCAACAAATGGTTATTAATTATAATAATAATAATAATATACAGTAATTATTATTGTTGTGAAACAACCTTTAGACCACTGGAATCCTTATACAAACAAACTCTAAAAACAATACACAAAAAGCCATGGAATTGTCACCTGTCGAGTACTGGATGAATACAATTTACGATTTACAACAGAGATGCACAGACAGTTTAAAAGGTTCGGTCCTCCTCCACATTGTGACTTTGTGTCGCTCAGTAACTTCTATTGAATTCTCCATATGAGACGACACCATTCAATTGCGCCAAATGAAATTAGCTAAATTAATTTCGTTTTTCTTCTAAAGTCTAAATCTTACACTTTAGACACTGTTTAATTGTTAATTTTATTTTAAACACAAAACTATGTGTTGAGCATTAGTTGAGCAAAACATGTTTAGCGCATTAGTCGCATAGATTTAACGCGTTAATGCTGACAGCAATAGTTATGGGATATCAACAACATTCTCCTTTAAATTGAAATGTCCCTGAATTATTTTCGTCTTTGGGTTAAAATCACAAATGTTCCTCCCTTTTTTTCTCTTAATTAATGTTAAGGGCTCACAGGTTACATGTCCACTCACCTATCAGGTCACTCTGTGCTATGGTGTATCCTGAGTTGGAACTGGGGGCTGAGGCCATGCCAGCAATCCCTGGGGCTCCGGCAGGGTTGAAATTGAGCAACGGCGGGAACTGGAAGGGCAGCGAGACTGGCACCAGGCCTCCCAGCATCCCAAAGCCCAGCGGCAGAGCAGAGGGGCTGCCCAGGAGGGAAGCGCCTGCTGTCGATACCTGCACAAGACCACGCGCAAACCAAGTTCATTTCAGGAATGTAACGCTTATTATGAAACGTTCTTCTCCTGCCCCAAAAAAAACAGACCTGTGAGAGGTGTGACGTTGTGGAGGACGTTGCCATGGTTCCTGAAGCAGCCCAACTGTTTCCGGCCTTTGAGCTCTGGGTAGCCCCACCCACCACCCTCTCCCTCTGCCTCTGCCCGTGATTGGCCGAGACTGAAGGCGCCGACGACAGGGGCGCCCTGTCCGGGCGACTGCACACGGTGGAAATAACCCCCTTGCTGAGGATGGAGTTGTTGATGAGGCTGCTACTGGTGCTCGTCGTGGACTGAGCTTTCTGGCCTCCAGCGAAACTGAAGTGTCCCTGCGTCTGCTTCACCTGCCCGCCGCCCGACACGCTAAACGGGGGGCGAAAGTTTTTTGGGGTTTTGGGGGAGTACTGGTGTTGTTGCTGTTGGCTGGGGATCATTTGATGGGAGAGCGGGTGTGAGGGCGAAGATGACGGGGAGGGTGAGGAGGAGGGAGGTGGGGTGGGTGCGGGAGGCCGGGGGGTGAGCTTGATGATGGGAGAGGAGTTGCTGCTGTGGGAGGACTTGGTGAGGGTGGCCTGCATGGGTGTGATAAAGTTAGCCTGGTGGTGATGGTGGTGGTGATGATGTCCGTGGGATTTACCTTGCGAGGAGTGTGAGGTATGCGAGGTGGGGGACGCCGAGGAGGCCACCGTGGACTGAGGGCAGAAGGACTGCAGGACAGCGTGGGTGATGGAGCTAGAGCGGGAAAGTGGGGAGGGGGACGGGGAGGAAGACGGCGTGATGCTGCTGCTCACGCTGCCGTTGCTGCTGGCTTTGGCACTGCTCTTGGCCAGTCCTTGAGGGGCTCCCATAGCTCCCAGCATCCCCGCCGGGCTAACAAAGCCCTTCTGATGGGGGGGCAGCAGCGGGGAAGCGGTGGGCGGAGGCCGCTGCTTCGGGGGCGATGGGGACGGATGTGGCTGCATCTTGCCACTAACGCCCATCACAACAAGCTCGGCCTGTGATTGGACGAAGCCAAGGGAAAAAAGCCTAGGTAGATGAATGGGGGTCTTGATACGTCTCGTGGTGCGATGATGCTATAAATCAGGGCTGAGTGCACCAACCTGCAGTCATTGAAAGCCAGAGAGAGGCCGGCTGCCTGCACACGAGCGAAGGAGGAGACGGCCGGAGACGGTGAAGAGGAGGTAGAGAAGGAGGTCGGTAGCGTTGTTATTGTCGTTGTCGTCGTCACGTTCCCAGCAGACGCCAGCGGAGTGGCCTCCACCTTCGAGAGGGAATGCTGCTGCGTTGTTGATGCCAGGGAGGCAGAAAGCTGAGAGGCTGACGGGTAATGAGGGGTGACGGGGGGCGGAGAAGAGGTGGGCATTTGCAGGGGTGGGGGCGACAAGGGGCTGTCCGAGAGGCCCAGGCCCTTCGACGCGTTGCTGAGGAGGGCCAGAGCGTGGGAGATGGAGTCCAGAGAGGGAGCGGTCAGATCCTCATCCAGCGAGTCCGACAGACAGATGGGCTCCGGCGGCGAGGCAGAGGAGGGGGCCTGGCGGGTGGAGCTCAGAGAGGACACGCAGGAGGGCTGAGACGGGGTGGAGGTCATCATGACAGGTGGTTTGTGGATCCAAAGACCCTCCTGAAGAACATGAAGCCATGTGATCAGGGTCACTCCCTTCATTTATTTATTTGTATCCTATTTGCCTGTTAATGGCAACTCAGACATACAGATATAATATCTATATCTATATATATATATAATATAATATATAATAAGATTACAAATACTGACATTTCAGGAAAATAAATATATATCGACGTGACTGGTCCTCTTTATCATTACTTTAATATATAGTGGTGAGTATAATGTATTCTGTGCTGAAATGCATAGAATACTAAATGTAGATTGATATTAGCAGTTTTTTTGGCCTTTATTTGTTAATGTTGTCAAAGCCCCACAGCTATAGTTTGAAACCATTTTTTTAGCGCAGTTAAAAGATAAAACACCCCCAAGAAAAGAAATAATAATAATAATAATAAAAAGACACACTACAAAGCAGGCTCATATATTATAAGGTAGATGATTTGAGCAGTCACTCACCTTGGCTTTGGCCTTTTGCCCAGGCACCATTCTCCTCTTGACTCTGTGTTGAAAATGAAGGGAAATATTCAGAACTTTCTTTACAATTTGCATTCAAGCCAAAGCAAGAATGCAAACCCTGTTTCTTCCATATACTGTAGTAGTAGTGTTATAGAGCAGTGGTCCCCAACCTTTTTCACCTCACGGACCGCTTTCATGTCAGTATTGTCAATATTTCGCGGACCGGTCGAGAAGGTCGGGGGGGAGGGGGGGGGGGGGGGGTGTTGTAGTTGCGCGCTCTGTGTTCGCTGGTGGGCGAAACTGCCGTGCACGGTAAGAGGACAACTGTAAACGTCTGGTGACGCGTGGGGAATATGTCAGAGGGACGAGCGCACATATTTATGAGAAAATCCAGTAAATTTTCAAAATAAAACATTTTTCAGAAAAAAATATATATATATAAGCTTTTTGTGGTGCGGCCCGGTACGCAGCCCGGTGGTTGGGGACCACTGTTATAGAGGACACTCGTATGTAAATACTTACAGGTTTCCAGTGAGGTGACTGTGAACAGCAAGACTCTCCTTGAGCAGAATCCTGAGCAGAGCAAACAAACCGCGTCATGGCCAGAGGACCACAAAGGCTGATTTATATTACCACAAATTACTTAGCAGAGAACATCACGTCATGAATAGAGAAGAAAAGAACATTTGCTTATTGTTGCCACTACATGTATAAACTGTGACCACTAATACAAATTGCCTGAAACACATTTAGCCTCCAGCCAACAGGAATATTCAGAGTGTGAAGTTTAACCAGAAAACATTTATTTCTAAGAAAATATGGCTTTGACATTATTTTGCATGGCTTACCTTTTAATATAAATAGCTCAAAAATGTTAGAAAAGGTATATTGCATAATTAACATCGTATGGATTTGTTAACATTTTACACTATTAGAATTTTCTTCACCACTAATGTGAGCAGAATGTTTTAAATACCAGTATTACTCATTTAGCTCTGTTGCTCTGTACTGGGTCGGCTGCATCTACAGAACAATGATCAATGTATTGCTGCATCAATGTTTTGCCATATTTAACTTCAGCTTTAACTGAGCTGATTGTGTTGCGGTCGTGCTTGTGTCTTCATCTCTGACACTTCATTGGTTTTGCAGTTTCAAAATAATTGCCATTGACAGAAATGTTGATTAATGTGCGTTATCGTTACAACTAAAGAAATGTGCCAAATCCCGCTATTTACAACTCACTTCCTTTGATGGGAAATGTGTAAACACTCACCAGACTAAACTATCGCTTCCCTGAAAAGAAAAACGTAACAACTAAATTCTACATATAAAAACGTCAACTTTTCAGTAACTGCCTCATCACCATGAATTCATTTATTCACCGGCTGTTACACATCATGGCTATTTAAACACAACACGCACAAAAAGACACACACACACAGACAGACAGACTGAGAGACACACACACACACACACACACACCTGGCCTGCATCCAGCCCTTGGGCCATAGTGGTTTGACCTCATTCTCTAAGAAGGCCTTGAGGTAGTCCTCCACAGACAGAGAGCACTGGTTCTCCATCTCGTAGCAGCTCAGCTTCACGCGCACCAAGCTGCACAGCAGCGTCCTGCAGACACACATTCAGTCCAACGGAAACCTTCACTATTAAAGGGAAAATTAGGCTCTAGGTGTTGGGCACATAGTGACAATGGAAACAATGTTATTCTTCAGGGAGTCAGAGGTAATCAAAAAAACATTCCTAGAATATTGAGGCGGTTACAAAAATGAGCGATGATCGAAAAGCAGCTGAGCAGAAAGTCAATCTCAAGGGTTTTGTAATTATATGGACAGCAGTACTCTGCGTTCCAACATTCAAACCGGCATGACATTTAAAGCTTTCCTAAGAAACTTTAAGGGGGAACTTCACAGTTTGTACATCCTCTGCATCTGCTCACCAACTCCGCCTGAGTTTACATTATCAGTTACTAGAATAACACAACAGAGTCTTTGAATGGACATTGGTGGTTGCTTTGAATTGTGGGTAATGCGAGCGTCGGGTTTCGACAAGGAAGAAGAATAAGTGAAAAAGAATAAGTTTTTCCCCATAACTGTCTTTACGCAACAGTGTTAAAAAGGAGTGGAGTACTCTGAAAAAGTATTGTTTGGTCAAATTAAACAGTTAAGGAATAATCATTGATTTTGAAAACTCAAATGCCTCATTTGTCTCCTCATCATCATATTTAAACAACATTTAAGGGCTGTGTCACATCTGTTGACTGGATTAGACGCGGACAGAGAAGGCACGGGGGGGACAGTCAAACCCGTAGCATAACAAACAGCGTGCAGCCAGATCTTTACCTCAGCTTGTCGTCCCAGGCAAACTTCTTCCGTGGGCCCATCACCCTTTTCCCAGGCTTTTCCTCATCTTCCTCCTCTGAGCCATTCTTATCGCCCTCTCCTGACTGCTGCCTGCAGGAAACACACACACACACACACACACACAGCAATATGTAAACATACAAGAACACGCACACAAGTGGCTTGAATAAACTTCTTCATACAACCTCAATGGTTTCTACAGTCTTGTAGGTTTATGGATTGTGTGTTCAGTGACAGGTAAAGGTGTGCAGAAACCTGACCTGTTTAAAACAGCTCACCCTTAATTGAAAAAGCAACAGCTATGCTGTCCACGATGTATAGCTTAGCTTAAAAACTAAACATGTCTGTAATCTGTAAACTTAACATGTAACATAGACCTGATGACAAGCAGAGGCAGAAGGTGGAGAAAAAGAGAATTTCAGTTTGCTTTCACCTATTCAATTTCTTACTTGAAACAAGAAGGAAGATTCACTTACTTTGCAACCCTGGCCATGCAGTCCATGTTGTATCTGGCTATTTGCTCCGGCATCACACTGCACACAGCCAGCTTCAGCTTCAACAGCGGCGTCCGTAGACGGTCATCCTGAGAGGGGGAGAGAGAGAGAGAGAGAGGGGTGTGAATAAAAGGAAGAAAGTTGGGGGAAAACAAGAAAGGTTGGAGGGAGAAAATCTGGACGCCTTCATGGCACAAAACTGGTCCCACTGCGTGCAATGAGTTAAATGCAGAGAAACATTTCCCCTTTCGTATTCCGGACGGTGCGGAGCCCTGAACTCACCTGCACACCCACTTCAAGCTGTGATTGGCCAAGTGTGTAAATATGTCACGGTATGCAAGCGCTTCATTTCTCTCTCCTCCTCACTCTTTCTCCACAAAACAATTAATGTAAAAACGTTTTGTACAACTATGAATGCTTTGAAGAGATGACGGCGTGAGTCATAATCCCCTTTATGACAATGATCCCGTGACTACTACGTGCTCAACTACTTCTCTGAAGCATCCAAAGTCTTGAATCAGAACCATTTATTTGCCAAGTATGTGGGACATACAAGGAATTTGTCATGTTATGTCCCGCCGACAAATTGGTCAAGTTCCGTTTCTCTTCCGTTGCAATAATTTGGTGAGCAGACATTGACAGAGCGATGAGCCGTTTCTGCTGCCTTGAGTTGAAACCAGCTATACGGCAAAGAACGAAGACGATGGTTCCAGAATCGTTGCAATAATCTGGTTTGTGGGCGTTCTGTAAACATCAGGAAAACTACACCTGGTTACCGGGGATCATCGAAGCCTCTTTCCCAACGTTCTTTTTACCAAACGCAGCGCGTTTGCGCATCGACGCACCCTGCAGTGCAAAGGCTGTTGTGTAACATTAATTACCAAACTATGTGACCACGTATGAGGGGTCATTACAATTAGTGCTAAAATCGCGTCAGCCCGAATAGTCTGATAAAATCGTTTAAATTGGTTTTACCAAATCAATATCGCTTTCCTCTGGGACGGCCTCGTTCTAAATAACAGTACAGGTGTGCGCTCATGTTTTGACGCTGTGAAGTATCGAGGGAAAGCTTTAGTTGCTGAGCTCCTGTTGGCGCGTTCAACTGTTATTGTCCCTGCTGCTTTAGAGCTATGACACCAGTAATGAGACTGGAATTTAGTTGTGGTAACTAAAAGAGAAACGAAGGAAAAGAGGAAAAGAAGAACGATGCCACACAAATCCATGTTTTTTACCAATTGCTATTGCTGTGATGGGTAAAAAACGCACAAAAAGCCTACTCCAGCTTCACGTCACCTTCCATGTTTACCGCTGGGTGGGAAAACATTAGAATATGCAGATCAGTTCATGTGATATGAGAGTAGTGGCACTGGACTGGCCTCACTTACCTGGATGTTGAGACTGAGCTTCTTCAGGCGTTTGAGGAGGGCTTCTTTATTGCACGGCACAAACGCCTCCATGTGCGAGTAGATGCTTAAGCGCACATCAGGAGGCTGCTCCTGGACCTGCAACTCAATGCTGAGAGGAGAGAGAGGAAGCGTCACAACGGTGGAAATGGACAGTTATGGCGGTGGAGTTTGAAAGGGAGAAAAGAACATGATGTGATGCAGAGTGACAAAATGAAAGTGAGGAGGGAGATTTGAGGAAGAATATCGCTTAGTGAACATTAAGTTGAAGGAACAGGGGAGGGGAAGGGAAATGAGAAGCAGGTCATTAAAGACAACGAAAGATGGAGAGAAAACAAAACATTTAAAAGACAGCAGGAGAGGTGGTGAGGAAAATCTGCTGAAAATGAAGAAGAGACTCAAAGGGAGGAGAAATGCGCTGGGATTTAAATGCCGTCCTACTCACTCCAGGAGAATGTTATTCATGTCCAAGGTGAAAAATTTCTTCCTGCCCTCTTGATCAAACTGCCGCGAGGCCTTTGGGAGAGAAAGTTGAGTCAGCATTTGACTGTTCCAGACCGTGCAAATACATACACATGCATCTGTCATGCTGCGCCTTCAGACACTTTTACACAAAACACCAGATTGCCTTCTCATTTTGGCTAGATCGAAAGCTGTCAATTAAACTCAAACAATCAAATCTTCCTGGGCAAACTTTTAGCATTAATTAAAAAGACTACAATTAAATCCACCTGTTGATCACAGGAACCTTCCAGGATCATTTGCTATGTTTAAGCAATTTAAGAAACGCTGTTTAGTATTATAGAATAGTGGAAATACCACCAGCAAGTGAGTGCCGAAACTCAGAGCTGCTGTATCTGGTGTCACTGGAATTTGGTTTCCTCTCACAGAGCTCATAATGTAACCAAAACCATCCTGTTGCTCTGAATAACTTGAAGGTCCTGGGTTTTTTTGTAAAAAAAGAAAATTTGCAAATACAAAGCTGACAAGAAGTTAATGTTTTTTTACTTGGCTGGCACCAAATCTTTACATGACAAATGACCTGATCCTTCCCTCAACTCAAAGGAATGGTCCTTGCCAAGGTTGGATCTCCCAAGCGGTCTTTATATTTATATCATTTGTTATCTTTGGAAGTACCAAAAAAGAAAACCAATGGCTTTATTTATTTCCTCCTCCCGCTTCTCTCAGCTCTGTGTAGTTCACATGAATCATCCTTTTCAATTGCCTATCTATGGTGGTTTTTGTCTTTTCTACAAGATATAAAAGCAACGAGAAAATTAGAACTTTTTCTAATGCAACAAAGCCAACCCTGCTGTTTCAGTGCAATAAAAAACCTTGAGGGTTCAGCTTGGGGCCGTATTACTCTCAAGCATTTTTGGTGCCTATTCCTGTTGGACTTAGCAACATGTAGTGCTGCTTTCTCGACGGGCATTTGCGTTTCAGCCGCCCACAGTTGACTCACCGCCCGCAGGTCCTCGATGCGTTTAATAAGAGGAGCAGGCAGTCCCTCAGGCAGCAGAGGCGGAGAAAACAGCCCGCTGGAAGACCCTGGGCCTCGCCCTTGGCCACTTCCTCCTGCTGCTGCTGCTCCTTTAGAGCCTGGAACACCAACTCCCAGAATGCCATTCTCCCTGGCCGCCGCCATTGCATGCTGCTGCTCAGTGTCTGCCAAGCCAAAGTCTAGGTCGCCTAAGAGATCCTGCAGTTCCTTCTCATTGGCCGAGCCTAGCAGCGACATCACAGCGGGGTCAGAGGTCAGGTCAGCCAGTGACAAGTCGCTGCTCACTGTGTTGCCCTGCAGATGGGTGGAGTTAGTGGCCAACAGGTGGTTCTTTGAGTTGGTGGAGTGTAACTTGTTAGCCACAGCTTCTGCCAAACCGGGGGGAGCCATGTTTGTGTTGGTCTTCCTCATCTCCTCCTTCTCCCGGGTGAAGCGGCGGAGCATTGCTGCCAGGTATAGAGAATCCTTCATCAGCTTCTTTCTCTTCTTCTTCTCTGGCCGCTGGAGGGTTAGAGCTGGTACTCTGGAGAGCAGAGCAGTTCCAAGTTAACAAAATGTTTAGTATATGCCTTAAAAGAAATGTTACACAGGTCCTCAAACTGCATCAGGAGTTTGTTTTGCTTCATTCAGACGGAACGCGGGACACAATCTGCCGGTTCACATTACATTTAATCAGCGTTGTGTTTGCAGTTGTCTCTGGAGTCAGTGGATAATTTGTGTCCCACCAGAGAAGGTCCAAACAAGTTATTTCAATGTTTACATATATATTATTTAAATTTTGGAAGACTGCCAGTGGGGGGGTGGGGGGGGGGGGTTGCTTCTATTTTTGGAGAATACTTTCAGAGAGGTGGCTGTGTTTTGGCATCTGGGCATGGACCATGGAGTTTTCTGGTGCGTGGCTTGCCACAGCAACTAAGAGCACAGTCAGATTCAGTGGCTCGTGATGGATGTATGAGAGGATCCACACAAAGCACAAGAGTATAATATCACACTGGGAGGTGGATTAGCAGCAAAGTACAGAGCGGACAAATGCGTCACATGTCCACTTTTAAAGCATAGGAGAGGAACTGCCCTTTAAATAGCAATGTCCATGTGACATTTTCTTTTTAATTGCTGGGACTGATGGTTATGACTTATTTGATTGGGTGATAGATTTTCTTAAAAAGGTTTATTTTACAGATGCGTAGAAGATTGAGACACGCAGCAGCAGGCTGAGCTTCTCGTGAGCCATTTTAATAAAAACCCCTCATATGAATGAGAATACATTCATAAACTGACACAAGACAACCACAAAAACAGACAATGATATTGTTCTGTTATGACTCACCCCTGACTGGGTTCTTTGTTCTTCTCCGCGTCCTTCTCTTCCAGGTCATTCGCGTCCTTCTTTTTCCTCTTCTTCATTACCTGTTCCTTGTTGTCGTTAGAGTTCTGAAATGATAGAAGAAGACAGTGCTCAGTGAACATCAATCAATTCTGCCTGAGTGTGAGTGGGTGCGTGTGCACCAGTGTGTCTTCTTGATATAGTGACGGATCTACAAAACGTTTCACCGATCCCAATGAAGATCAAGCTCCTGTCGAGAGAACCTCGATGTGACTTCCTGCCGGGTCACATGTTTCAATAACATTGCTTTTGTGTTGTTTTATATGCTTTCCCATTTGTCTTTCTCACAAAGTCAAAAAAATAAAACACAAAAAAAAAAAGAACATTTTCCAGGCCTGAAGGGATTTTGAAACTCTTGAATAACCGTTTCCTTATGTTCTGTTACGAACGTGTCAAAATAGTCTCACCTTGCCCTCCTCTGGCTCGGAGTCGGAGGCCGCTCTGAACTGCAGCGTTCCCGTGTTGACGTAAAATCCCCCCAGCTTTGTGGTCAGAGACGCAGGAACCAGTTCATCATACTGAGAGAAACAACAAAGAGGACAGTTTGTACTGCAATATCACAGGACAGCCAAAGCGGTTCTTGCGATATTGTTTCCTTTATAATTTGACAAATAAGCCTTTTTATGGATGTTGGTCAGAAAAACATGTTTGCTTTTTGACTTGTTCTGAGCCAAAATAATATCACAGCCCCTCCAGGCACCAGATAAAAAAACTTTATCAAAACAAAAGGAGAAAAAAAACAGACAAACAGACACGGCCTTCTCATGAGTGCAGAAAAGACAGCTATCAAAACAACAAAACATATGTCATATAATGGCAGAGATTTCATACAAAGAGCGTAACTGTCGGACTGAGAGTGATCTGAATCCTGAGCGACGGCGGTGAGGAAACACATTGACATATCCCCGTGTGGACAGCACGCATGCATCTCTGAGTCATGAGGATGGTTTTAGAGCATATTCTCAGGTTGGTCGTAAGGAGTGACAGAGGACTATCTTTAGGAGAGCCACCGAATGCACCGTATAAAAATATCATAGCGGAAAATCAATATTTAACAGCCGAGTAATAATGTCCACCTCAAAACAACAAGAAATGAGAGCAGCGGTTTAGGAATGTGACGAGGACAGCGGATTAATCACCAGATAACAAGGGAGAAAAGAGAACAATAGGCAACATTATTGTAAAGACTAAAGGGGGACATCTAACAAAATAAAATGGACATCTGCAAAAAAGACTAAAAAATAAGTGAAGTATCTCATTATTAATAAAGTGAGCGGCACTCACAGCTTCTGAGTTGTCGATAAAGGGGTCTGTCTCGTCGTAGCCAAAGCCTATATCAATCAAATCTTGCATTCTGTCCTTCTTCTTCTTCTTCTCCTCTGTGTTAGCCTGAAAAATAATTTAAGAATATAATATAATATTAAGTTTGGATTTTAATTACGATGAAAATTCCTAACATTTACTCTAAGCTGAATCTTGAAATGGCTCTTTTTAGAGTGACGCCCTCACTTTCTTCATGTGTTTTTATGGATATTTGGTCCTCTTAAGAGCACAAAGCTACATTAAACTATAAATCAGACTGATTGATCGATCATGCTCATCTATAATCATCTTCTCCAGTCAACTATCAATAAATTGTACAAATGTCAAACAATGCCAAACATATGTTGGAGTTCATGCTTGAACTTTTAAAATGTTTTAATTAATTGTATTTTTTGACTGTCCAATGTTATTACGTATCTAGGTGAAATTTATTATTAAAAACGGTGCTATTTCCCCAAGGGTTTATATTTATTTGTAAATGATATGTACATATATAAACATAAAACCTAAAACCTCTATTGCTCTTGAGGTGGTTGCATTTGTCTCCCTCTCCCACAGCTCTAATGATAGAGGGTGTCACTTGATTTTGAAAAATTATATTATTATTATATATTAATAATTAAATTTACTTTATTATAACTATATAAATAAACACACTGTAATCTAAACCACTAATAGCACCTCATTTTTTGCTGTACAGAAAACTTGACATTGACAAAAAACACTCAGAAACAGTTTGTCCCACAGAGAGCAGCGGCGAGTGGATTGTTTCAACTGTACAATGTCGAGCAAATAATTGCTTGTGCTTCGTGAAACATGATGATCAGATTTTTGTTTGGACTCTCAAATATAAATATTAGAATGTACCAAAAAATCCAGTTAGTCAGTGCGAAATTCTAACATAACCAAATTAAAAACATCTCAGGATAAAAAAAAATAACTCACATATTTATTTTCAAACTTTCTGGCCAGGGCCTCGACCTGGAGCCGCTCTCTCTCGTCATCGTCGAAGGGGTCATTGGGATTGTGAACTGAAGTAAGACTTTTCTTTACCTGGAACAAAAACGTGAAAATGATTAATATTAACTATTAAGAAGATGAATTATCAGATGTCAGAGCCATGGTTCACGGGCCCTCCCACTTTGATGCAACTTGACTACAACGAAACCTCAAGGAAAAATATCAATGCATTAAACAATATTAGCAGCAAACGTAATACAAGTGAACAAGTGAGAAAAAACACATATGCCAAACATTGTTTTCAGCATGGCTTTTGGACACAAATACATTTAATTACAATGTGGTTTTGCCATCAATGTAAAAGCATAATAATGATGACCCGCAGCATCCAAATGAGGCGAGCTGCTCTGCGATCTGGGCTCTGGCTCACGTGCTACATCCTGGTACTTCCATCAGCAATGCTCCATCATCCATCACCCGCAGCCACGGGGCCGAGCTGCATGTGGCACTTCCACGGGCTGTGATGGCTGTGAATGAGGGCTGTTGCTGGGCAAGTTGGCCAAGACACAGGTAGCATCACGAGATGGGCACTATCTCTATACGAGGAGCTCCCCCAGAATAAAAAGCTAGAATCTGACACGGCACAACAGAAGTTGGAAAGCACGCAGAGTGGACCGGCCGGCTGCGTGGTGCAACGGAGACACGCACACACACAAAAAAGAACTGCTGCTGTCTTTTGTGTGGAGTCGTACTAATGGTCAGTTTAAACCAGGCCAGTCCAGGACAAGGTGCACCCCCTCCCTCCCAAGTCTCCGCAAACACTTGCCAAAGCAAACAGAATTAACTCCAGCTCCGGTGTCGCCCGGCCCGGGGACGTGAACGAAACACGGAGGTCTTACCTGGAGGTTTTGGATGAGTTCGCCGTAATTAAACTCGGCGGAGGAGCGGTCGTCGGGCTCCGGCAGGGACAGGTTGAGCCGCACCGTCGCCCTCTTCTCGCCCACAGCCTTCTCCGCGTCGCCGTTTTTGCCGAGGCGACCGTTGCTGGCAGCCCCCGCTGCCCCGGTCGCTGCCTCGACCTCCGTGGCTCCGCCGAAGTTGAAGTCGGCCTCCTCCTCCAGCCGGCGTTTCCTGGACTCCGCGGCCGCTCCAGCTGCGAAGGCCGAGAGGGTGACAAACTGCACTTTTCTCGGTTCGGCCATTTGGATGAGCTGCCTGGCTGAACCTCGCTCCGGACAGACGGCGACAGCGAGGAGATGCGCTACTTCGCGAAACTACTCCAAATTGGTGGCTTGAAGAAGGTTTCGCGAAGCTCCGACGGCTGCTCAGTGCCTAGACGGATGTCCGGGCCTCCTCCGCACCATACGAAATGAACTCCACGGGTTGTGACGGTCGGGGAAAAGTTGTTTTAACGGCAGCTACTTGCATCCTCGATTTGCTATGGGGACGAGACATTCACGGGAGCCATCTTGGGTTTTGGGAGTAAATAAAATATCAGAAGAGAGGCGTCACTGCGCCTGCGCGGAGGCACAGAACGGAAGCGTCGTGACTTGGCGCATCGTCACGTCCAATCACCGCGTGCCCCGATCCTGGTCCCGCCCCTTTCACAACAGGCGATAATAACAAAACTGTCAGTACTATAATGACCTTTATAAAGTGACTGGGTGAAGGACGGGCTGTGGGAAACACACACCACATGCTTTGAGTATTCAAATATAAACCAGCCTCATCTCCATTTAACTATGGACTGGTTTAATTTGAAGCCTTTCTTTAGGTCTATTCAGCAAAATGCTGAGATGTTCATTTTTCTACAATGGCACCAGCACATTTACAAACACTCAAAACATCAAATCCTAAACGAGAGAAAGCAAGACAGGCGGTTAGCTGTCTGTTGATCGTCTGTTAACCCTAGCCCAACACAGATGATAAAGCATGGCGCCCCGCTCACCACCTGTTGATATTCAGTTTAACTGTAACATACCTGCTCCTTATTACAATAATCTGCAGGAAAGCATTTACAGATGTTTTCTGTACGTTTTTGTTGAAAACCAAACCTGGATTAACCTGTCAAAACACAGGTCAACATTTAGTTTCAGCCCCACACACATGCAATGTGTCCAGTCCCGTTGAGGTGACAAATTTGAAGGCAACGGTATTGAAACGTAAAGTAAAATACTTAGTTATTAATTGCAGAATACTTTAGTTTATTTGACATCACCATCGTTCTTTAGCACTTAAAATGCTAGTAATTCATTTTTATCATGCTCTTATTTCTTTATTTTCCCCTTCCTCTGTGGTATTTGCTCATATCTTTTGCCTGATTTCTGTCGCATAACTGTACTACATTTCATACAAATCAATCAGTGACAAAACTGCAAAACTCATAAATAAAATAACAAAGTAACATTTTAATAGAAATACCTAAGAACAAAGGATTTCAATTCAAAACATACATATTTTCACAATAAGTGTGGCAGAGATAATAGTTCCATATTTCTGCATAATGTAGCTGCTCTTGATGTCAAGAGCTGTAGTTCAGTACACAAAAGTCTCACTAGAGGAGGACTCTGTTGTCTTTGGCCCACTTCCTCAGAGTTCTGATGATGTACTCAACCTGAGGGTTTCCTGAATTTCGTAGCAGAGACAACACCTCTTTAAGTGTTTCCCTAGAACACAAACACATGAGAAAACAAGATTTGATCAAGAGTTTTTTGGTAATTTGTAATGCTACAATCACATTATTGCAACAGAAAGAGACAAACATACTTGGACTCCTTGTTTGCCAGTATGAGCTGGAAGACGCCGACACAAGCCCCTCTCTTGCCCTCCGAGTAGTTGGATCCTGGGTCCAGTTTCTCCAGTGCATCAAATGCTTTAGCTGCATAGTAGAACTGACCCATCTGATTCAACAAAGTGTGCACAAAAATTACTTCTAAAGCACAAATTATTCCACCTATTTACCAAATGAATACATTGTCTTTTTAAATTTATTCAGCGGAAGAAAAACTTCGAAAAAAACATTCAAAAATAAATCAATATGGCAGGCAACAGAGCAGAGCTAAAAAATACAGAGCAAAAACCTGTATGACACCAAAACAAGCTGGTAGAAAATAAAAGGGGACATTTGGAACTCTAGATTAGATTTACAATTGACATATACCAGTTAAAAAAAAACAGTAAATTGACAGAAAACTAATCAACAACTAATTTTTTTAATCAGTCATTTTGAGTAACTTATTCTGAAGCAGAATAAGCTTCTCAAACATTTAAATATTCAACCGTTTCTTATTTTTATATGATATCTCTAAACCTTTTGCTTTTGTCCTGTTGGAAACGATCAGCAAATTAACCAAAAATGGATCATTAGTTAGAGCACCAGACATTAATTCAAAGGAAAATAGCGACTAGACATTCACACGAGGGCTGAGAAAAGCTTATCAATTTGTTGATTATATTGAGAAAAGTCAACCACAATTTCCCAGATGTCAATGTGACGTCTTCAATTACTTCTTTTGTTGGACCGAGACCCAAATCTTTAAGATATTAACTACACAATAATACTTGAGATACTACTTAAACAATTAATTATTAAAATTGCGGGCATGCATTGACCAATCTTTCCGGGCAAAAATGAATTAATTTCTGATGAATTCATGAATGAGCTTTTAAGCGATCCCCCGAAGTCACCTTGTAGCAGTCGTTGGCAATGAGCTGCAGCAGGCTGAAGGAATTGGAGGAAGTGCCCATCTTCAGATAGAGCTCCCAGGCAAGCCGACCTCTCTGGTTCATTATGTCTGACAAGAACAAGATGAGTGTTCAATCATCCATCATTCGCAGGCAGCCTCAGCATCTTTTATGGATTCAGATTTGGAAAATGTGAAACACCTGAGGGCAGGTTTTATTGATGTGGATTAAGCCAAGAAGGGGAGAAATATCTTTTAATGGAGATATCTTTATATCAGAGCTGCTGAGGTGCAGGAGTGGACCTAGCCTAAGGCTAGAAATACTGCAGTTTGACTCAGCCTCAGTGAACAACTACACAGGGTTCTTCGGTCGTGCTCTCTCCAACCTAAGATCTGTGAGAGCATTCTTCATGCTGTCATGTCATCGTGGACCGTGACTGTAAATTGTTTCAGGTCTATCTGAATAAAGCCTCTGCTTTGTGCAACGGGTGCTAAATGCAGCGAACACGTGGGGACTGGATGCTATTGCCCCAGTTGTAATATAAAGTATTGAGGCTCACGCTGGCGGCTCGTTGCACTGAAGAGTTCTATTATCAATTCCCATTTAATAAATAACATATCAATGCTTTGCCAGACACACGTTCAGAGTTGAAAAACTGGACAAAACCTTGGATTTCTCAGGTATATTTTGTTTGTTTTTGGTTCTCACTCTTATTATCTTTTTTTTTCTCAACTTGGCTTTATTATCAATCTTCATTATTAAATCAATCTATAACAACTACTGACATTTAAAATAAATAAATTCTGCCCTGTAATGTTTGTTTGTGTTGATGATTGATTCAAGTTTGTGCTACAGGAATTTGCCTTGCAGAAAGGTGGTTGGAGATTAATATAGTATCAGCAGTAGGACTGGTGTACATACAGCATCGTGCCAGCCAGCTGAGGTAAACATAGTCATTCTTGATCTTTTCATTCTGAATCAGGAGAAAAACCTGAAAGAAATATTCAAATGAGTCCAAAACAATAGTCATCAGAATTGATCGAAGTCTGTAAATTGCTGTTGTGTAGATGTATGATGAAGCAAAGTACCTCTTCTGCTTCTTTGTAGTTGCCCAGTGCTGCTTTTGCCTGAGCATAGTTGAAGTTGAACGTATCATCGTTAAAAAAGTAACCCTGGGAATAAAAAGCACAATAATTCCTCCAGAAAAAAGATAAGTGTTCACATGTTCAACTAAAAGCAGATACAAAAGTCCATAAACACACATGGACACACACACACCAACAAAATGTGCTGCATCTGTGAAGCTCCACTCATCCGAAGTGACACTTGTGCCCTCATGTGTGGGAGTCTCTTTATATACTCAGCTTCTTACATACTTGTAACTATGTAAAGTATTCTCACTGGAATACACAATTTAATGTGTGCCTGGTACTGAGCAACACTAACCTTGACTGAGTTTAGATATATGAGAACATCTTCAAACTGTCTCAAGAGGAAGAAGCAGGAGGCCATGCATTGTCTGCCAGGAATAGTATCTGAAAGGGAGAAATCTGTTACACACACACACATTCTCACAGCGTTGCTTTAAAAGCTCATATTGATCAAATTTCTATTCAATGTACCACATTCGCTGGCCGAGCCTCCGACCAACTGAAAGAACTGCTGAGCGATTTTTAGGTGATCACTCTGAAAGAGGACAAGCACAACGGCAGATATTGGTCGCTCGGACTGACTGCTCACATTTCTTTGTGTGTGACTATTTAACAGAAATACTCACCGATCCAATTTCTTGTCCCAAAGCCGCATTTACCACTCCTTTCAAAATATACTCCTGAGAAAATAAAAGATCTTTGTGTGATGTCTTGTCTAGTCCCTTTATGGTGAAAGAAATTAAAAAGGGAGACACCGATTATCTTGATAGAAGACACTTTAAAAGAAACAGTTCACTTGAGGATAAAATACAGGTTAATAAAGAGTAGATATATCCATTATAAATATATATATATATATTTCTTTATTTTTATTCACTAGGATTTTTATTAGCTCCGTTTAACCAGGCATGATTCTAGATTTTCAGTGTACACTTTCTTTCCTGTAAAAAAGTGTAACTTATAAAAAACAAATAAAATGACAAAGCAGTATTAAGCTACAGTTGAAGCTAAACAGATTAACTGTTATGAGGTGAAATTCAGCAGCTCCAGTGTCTTTTTAAGATAAAATAGTTACATTCTGTTATAAAAAAAAAAGTGCACATTTAAAAACCCAACGTCACTGAATCATCACCTGAGGGGTTGTGGGAACCAAATCTTGAATGAGGTTAAAAGCTTCCTGGACATCATCTAGAGATATACAAATACTCATGAGAATCAATGAGCTGGGGAAAACTGACACTTAAAACCTCCATGATGCATTTACATGCCAAAATATAAATCAGCGTGGCATAGAATAATGTGATCTTCTTGTGTTGTACACCATTGGGTTATTTTAAGATTACCTAAAAAGGATTAGAGAGGAGTGTGATTAATGTAATCAACTTATCCATGATACGGTATAATACTAATAAAAATACTTTCATTTGATATAGGTCTAGGTAAAAGAAATTGTATCTTCAGTTCTTCACCAATCATTTGGACATCTGATACGTTTCAGTAGAAATATTTTCCCTGTTTAGTTTGTTCTAGAAACCTGCAATAACATGGCTGACCACCTTGTCTGAGATAGTAGATGACCAGGTTGAGTCTGGCCTCGGGGATCACATCGATCAGAGGAGGCAGCACCTGCAACGCCCCCTCCCCTCCCCGAAACACCACCTGCAGCACACGGGGGAGAGATTCAAAGGTGGAAAAGCAACATGGCAGTCCCTAGTGTACGCAAACACACAGACCTACACGTGCAGTTACAGCACGGGAGGAGCTTACCAGGTTGTGTCGGATAAGCTCCTTAGCGAACTCAAAGGAGCAGGAGGAGATGTCGATCAGGTTCTTTAACTCAGCCTAAGAGGGAGCGAGGAGACACACACGTCAAACCTGCCCCCATCTACTCTCAATGAAAAGGACAAGTAGTCACTGACACGACAATAAGGATGCATTACTTATTAAATTAAATGTAAAAACACAGTACAAGGCTATTGCTCTAATTTTAAATATAAGCCTTTGTATTCATTTGTTGGATTTTCTTAATACAAACCTATGCAACCACAAACAAAGGTTTTAAAATAAAAATGTTTGAAAAAGAAGTTAGCTTTTGCCACTCATTCCCACATTTGGGTCGCTCTATTTTTACAGATAGTGACAGTCCTCGTTCACACAAAACTTTAAAATGTGTGTATGAAAATGTGAGGACACACCGTACAAGGACCGACCAAAATATCAGCCTAGGTACGCTGCAACTACGGCCCGAGTACCTCCGCTGCCTTTCCGTTGTAGAGCCTGAAGTGGTTGCAGGCCTTCAGGTTGAGGGCGATGGTGGAGTCCGGTATGCTGTGCAGGTACACTGCCAACACCTCCTGGGACACATCGTAGTAGTCCAGCTTGTAGTAGCACAGAGCGACGTAAACCTTCAGGGCGAGGAAATCTCTGAAAGAGAACATGAAATGTGGGTGTGAAACTGGCCTTCGGCCTTATATTTGTGGCTGAACACAATATTTCAGATTTTCGTGGTGTTTAGAACGGGACATTTTGAAATGATTACCAGTATCATGAAGTCGACCCCTCACTATTATCTAAGGTTGCTTGACATTATAGTCTGTATTGTGACTACCCCTCCTTTCCTCTGGGGGTCTATATCCTGTTTACTGGCTCGTCTTTGTCTTGCAGGATGAGCCTGGTGCTGTTGCAGGTACGTCAACACGTACACACGGATGCTCCCTTCCTTGGCTGCTGCAGTTTGCTTCTGATGTCTTCACACATGCTGACATCACTGATCACTGACTGTCAGTGTTTGTTAAACAATACATGTGCTTAGTTAATGCTTTACACCAGCCTAGTCTCCCGTGTAATACTTTTTTTTCTTGAAGACTGTTTTTTTACCCACGTGGGACAAAGAGGGCCAGAGATTACTTAGAACTTAACTGTGATAGTTTGTAGAATCTTTAGCACTATTTCTGTTTTCTTTCATAATTAACATAGCATTGCAACCAACTAGAGATGTTATTATTGTAGATTATTGCAAATGTCAAATGACAAGGAGTTGTGGCAGGAAGTAATAGACAGGAGAAAACTGAGGTGCCAAACTGGTTTTGAAAAGCATTTGCAGTGTAGCAAAGACCCAGAACATCAGGGCTTGTACAATGGGCCAGTACACCACATCTTTTGGATGTACAACTTGGATATTTTTGCATTTATCTGTTAGCATTTGGAAGAAGTAGTGACAGCAAGACTAATTTCCATTCCAACGGATGCACCGTGACATACAGATGCCACAAAGCCGGGAATAGATCTCTGAGAAGAGGCACACTCAAGGGCTTTCATGTTCTTATCCACGCTACTTGAGAGATAATATATCATCGTGAGAGCAAGCTAGCTCAGCAGGCCGGCCGTAATGACACTTGAATTATCTTCACGGTTGCATAAGGCGCGATGCTCAAATTAACCACTCGCACCTGTCAAGGTGGTCCGGGACGACACGTGCACCCGAGAGCAGCGGAACCGTGAGACTAATTTCCCAAAGTAAAAGGCGGAGGAGAGCGCACGCACGCACGCACGCACGCACGCACGCACGCACGCACGCACACGCACACGCACACGCACACGCACACGCACACGCACACACACACACACACACACACACACACACACACACACACACACACCTGTTCTGCAGTAGGAGACGTTTATAGATGTCGATGGCCTCCTGGTAGTGAGAGCGCATGTAGTGGATGGATGCCAGGCTCAGCTGGTCCTCTGTCACATCCTCCAGGTTCTGGTGGAAATCCATCAACCTCTTCTCATCGTTGAACTGAGACACAATATGAAGATAACACATCAAATCATTTCTGTTTATGTGCCTAAAAATAGATCACAAGCTCCTGAAATTGTCTCTATAGATTTTGAGATAATATTGCTATAACGAACTGTTCTGAGAGTGCTTATTAAATGACATACAAATCTGTATGACAATAACCTTTATTTAGAGTGCAGGGTCACTCAGCATTGATTGAATAACAATCAAGAGCAGGCAGAAAAGAAAATTAAACACACATAGTGAAATAAAATGGCAGTTTTCAAACCTTATGAGCCAAGTGGAAGAGTAGTCGGTTTTGAAGGGGCGACATTGGCGCTGAAATGTAGTGAGACAGCAAAATAACATGAAAATAAGAGGCACAATTAATGAACAAACATCATAAACATAACTGAAGACAATAACTGAGAAGTGAACTAATGGGAAATAAAATTGTACCAAAAATTGCTGAATCGAATTCTTTGTGCTACTCAAGCTGCAAAAATAGTATTGGCAAATACTTGGTGATGAAAGTCATTTTTATACTTCCTGAATAAAACCTGGGGCAATTTCAAGTGTCATTGCACAATATGCCAAACCGATGCTTCAAGGAACAAACCACAATTATTGACATTTAGACATTTATAAGCCACAGCATATTTCCACCAATTTGGCCAAAATCAATAATTCAGTGGCAGAAATATGCTTCACCTATAACTTTTAAATGTGAAAAAAGTCCATTATGTCAACTGGTAGGTTGGCATAGAGGATGTGAATATCATATGTCGTTTTCATTTTGATAAGTTGATGAGCCAATGAGACAATCGAATGCTTAACAATAGTGTGATTTACCAGTGAGCACCATACATGTCGTGGTTAGAATACAGTGCAAAGGAGGACTCAACAAATGTAACCACCTACCTTTAGATGCAGCCTCCTCGGCCTCTTGATAGAGACCGAGAAAAAACAGTGCACAGGCCAGAAACACCCACACCTCAGCAAGGCAGTCAGGCTTCAAGGTCAGAGACTTGTACTCCTGTCACAATGTGAACATGAAATATCACACATGTGATTAAACTCAAGCTCACATTGTTATGCATTTATCCAGAAATTATTCAGAATAATTGGTTATTGAGCCATGTGGCAAACTACTTGGATACATTCAGACACACATATACAATAAAGAAGTACCTCCATGGCTCTCTTGTAATCACCCAGGTGGAAAGCGCAGTAGCCAATCCAGAGGTCTGCATGCTCCTGTTTTTCTCCAATACTTCTCTGAAACTGGAGATGACACAGCAACAAATCAGCAGCACCCAGTAATACAGTGCTGTCTGTAACACAGACGTGGGAGTGAATCTATTTGTGAAAGTTAAGTTCCAGGGGTTGATACATTATAATCTAAGGGAAAAATAATAAAATAATAGTTATCCCATTTATGAAAAGCTACAGGAGCAAGGTAACTCAGTAGTTCTAGCTCAACAAATAACTCAGCTGAATCATCACATTTAAAAAAAATAGGACATGTAATAGGACATTTCAGCTTAATTTCTTAATTTTTAACGATGATGGTCTAATCACGTAATTTCCTAAATCAGGCTCGGGACCCAAAGATGGGTTGCCGCAGAATTTTTAGGGTCACTAAACACATTTTGGAAATTTCTTTTAGTCTTCTGACCCATTAATATCTAACACCTTTGAGCCACATTTTCCAATTCCAAAATTATTTTTTTACCTGTGTGGAAACAAAACAAATGACTTCACTGGTTAACTTTGCTTGGATTCATATATTTGGTTTACTTTATGAATGACTTAATGAGTGATGTGTTTTCAATAGTACATGCACAAATGAAAGTGTGTTGATAATTGGAATAAAGCTCACATGGCTTTGATAAACTGATCATTTATTTTAGCATTTACTAACATTACATTTGTATTGAACAGAGTCAAGTTCTGCTTAATTGAAATCCCGCTCCTGTACGATTCATTACTTGTAACAATAATAATCATGTGAGATTCTATTCGCGCTTTTTTCAAAGCGCATTTTTCCAACTCTACAAATGGCTTAGGAGTTGTTCAGCCACAGTGAAGCACACAGAAACCTGTGTAGGCACCTCTAACAGCGTGAAAGCCCCGAGGTAGTCTCTCTGCTGCAGGTATTCCTCCAGGGGGGGAACCTTCGTCTTCTTCTTCTTCTCACTGAAGCTCACCGGCGTCTCCGCACCAACGGCTGGCTTCATGCGAGAAAGGATCTGCCGGGGCACAAAACGTTTACGTTTCTTTAAGTTGTCTTAGAACTATAATCTGGTCGGGTCGTCCATGCGACGCCATTTCAGAAATATGTAGAAACACGAACTTACCATGTCGACCGGTGTCTCCTAGCTAGGACTTGTTTATCGCTAGCCTAGGTAACGACACACAGACCGTTTACGTTAGCTGGTACGCTAGCTAACCTCACCTACCGTTAGCTATCCAACCTCAACGGCATCCAATATTCAAGCTAATGTGACTAAATACAAGCATCTTACTAACACGGCACTTAAGATAATAGTTAACACGTTAAGCACCTTTTTCTGCGGGATATTAATGGATGATCGGGGTTTAATGTGGAGTAGTTAGTTGATCTTTCCGCTTTCATATTTTCAAATTAAAGGGCACAAGAAAAGGATCTGACAATGCAGTGGGGAAGTTAACACCTGCTCGGGTTAGAGTCCCTACCACGGCCCTCTTTTGAAAACATCTGAGCAGCAATTGCCATCTTCAAACAGAAAGTTTCTGACACGGTGGCGATTTTAGAAAACATCTCTCGTAGGAAATTTATTTTGAAGTCAACAGGAAACAAATCAACTCTTCTTCATTGCACTTTATAGAGTAGTTTGTTCGTTGCTTGGCAACGGAATGGAAATAAACGGCTGCGGCCTGGCGGTTTTTAATTATGACTGCCTCGATGCAAGCCACGGCCATGAAACACAGAGACATGAATTTATTCTTACACTATTGACAGTTTAGTTGATCAGCCCCAGTGGCCTAATGGATAAGGCACTGGCCTCCTAAGCCAGGGATTGTGGGTTCGAGTCCCATCTGGGGTGTGAATTTTACAATTAAATATACAATTTGTTCACGATGAGGTTATGGTTTGACTTGTCAGGTAGGACGCACGATAGATTTGTACATGTGCGTGCACAGGACCCATTCATGAATTATTTCGTAATGACACTGATGTTGTGCACTTTGTCTTCAGTGTGTAATCTCTTTGAGAGCCATTGTTTTGTAGTTAGTATTTAAACAGCATTTGCAAGATAAATTAAGAAACGTGTTCTGGTTTAGTCATTCTTGACTAATTAGGTAATACTGTAGGCACCTGGAGATTAAAGGGCAAAGCCAGGTACAAGCCCACTATGCACCGGGGCGAGATATTGTTTTTTTCCATTATGAGAGTATTGATGTAATGTTTCCAAAGGTATGCATGTGCCATCTGCCCTCTTTATGCATAAAAAGAACAAACCTGTGGTGAATCAGTGGCCCTTTGACACAAGTGTATCACTCACAAGGATAAATTGCCACTACAATCCTTTATCCATTGCTTTGTGAGGACTGGCTAAATGAATATTTGAATTTTAAGCAGATTCACACAACAATGTATGAATAACCAGCCAACTTTATTGATTTCTCAGCAAAATTATGTTCAGGTGTCTTATGTTTTGATCGGGCCAGTCAGAGCTCTTGCATCCTCATTGTAGGTCTGCAGAATGGCCTTCAGGAGCAGTCTGGGTACTCGAGCGCACACTAGAACAGAAATAAGTGAAAATATTTTATTAGAATGCTTGGTTAATTTTGACATTTATCCTCTGGCACCTTCTAAAGAAACTAGCTCTGAGAGTGTACAATACTGTAGGATCTTAACATTTAAAACAAAGCTATGTAACAATTGGGCGAAGGCAGGATTTCTCATTTAACAGCCAAGTAGTAAATGGTCAAAAATGAACTGGTGCCCTGTACTTTTCCTTTCAGTGATCCTTCTTAGTTACCAACATTTACTCTAATGCAAAGTTAGTAATCTGCCAACTATTGGTTGATTCTCTGCCCAAAATGTATTAAGTCTACAAACTCACTTCTCTATCAAGAACTATACACAGCTTTTAAACAAAGTACCAGTACCTGCATTTCTTCTAGTGAAGTCATTAATTGTCATTGTTTTTAAGTTACATTTTTTAGTGCTTTTTAAAGCGCTATATAAATAAAATCCTGGTTTCACACCACTCACCTCTGGAAGTAAAGTCAAACCAGATGAGCTACCTGGAGATGCGTCTCCAGAGTGCCAACCCTGTTCAGAGACAAGTTTTGCTTGTTTAGTTCTTCCAAAAAACATTTTTGCCATCAACGGGTCAAATAAGGAGTCATGAGAAGAAATTGTTTACAGGAGGCAAAGGGGGAAGTGCCCCTTTGCATTTATAAGGTTGAATGTGGCTCAGGTCACTATCAAACGCCAGTCAAGGGACAGCAGTCCTCATGGTGTTAGCGAAAACCCGGCCATGTCACTCTGGCACACTTCCGACACCTAAACACCCACAAGATTGGTGCAAGGCTTTAATTGTGTGCTGTATGTTGAAGTTTAATGAAATAAGCCCTGCGTTGAGTAAACATTAAGTGCAGTAATAATTAGCAAAACGCTAAAATAGTCTAGTAGTACAAATGCACAAGAGAGTCAGTCAACCAAAGCTGTTGTATTGAAAGTAGAAAATAGGAGTGACAGATTAAAAAGTGTCAGGTTCTTTTATCAGAACGACATCAATATGCCAACAAAAGCAATGGTTCCCCCCCCCCAACTTTCCACAACATAGCAACTTAAATAGTACACATCTTAAAGTGATTCATTTGATATCGGCAATTTCAATGGTTCACCATTTTCCACCAACAAAATAGTGGTTATTTTTGACCCAACTGAGGCTCTAGCAGCAAGAAACATGTGTACTTCATTTAGTAGTTTAGTTGCAACTTCTAATTTGGCACTACTTAAATATGACTCAAATTTGCTTATTTTTCATTAACTAACCAGTTCCTTGTCGGCCACAATGGACCCTGCTGCGGTCAACGGGTCTTCATCCTGTTACAGCACAATCCTGGAGGGAAAAACACACACGCAAATTACATACCACAAACATTAGAATAAACAGTTCAAGCAAGGACCTACAAGTAGAGGGTTTAAGGTAAAGTCTCAAACTTGTGCAGGAGCATAAGCCATTTTTCACACCGTACCACTACACGATTAGCCTGTACATCAGTTCAAGAAATCCCTCTTTAAATAAAATCGTTCTCTTTTGCGTTTGATTCAACAAACTTTTCAGCGTCAAGACTCACAGGCTTTCTTCATGCGTGGACAAAGACATCTGGAAGCCCAACTGGGTTCCTGCAGACAGGACCTTCAGCTCATCCTTGATCAGCTTAACAACCAGACATCACGTCCGAGTAGTGGGAGAGCTGGAAGGAAAAGGGGAAATGAAAAAAGGGTTAGTCTTTGTTAAACACGAAAACACGAGTACAAAAATGAAGGATGAGAATACCACTGCTGAGAGAAACGCGAGGACGCTCCAGGACATGGTTACATTTACAAATCTCCGTAACTCTTGATGCGACACGTGGCCAAATAGCCACAGAAGACAGGCCCGCGCAAGCTATTAAAAGTTTTTAAAAAATGCGTAAGAAAAAGGATATATCGACCACGTTTGGTGGTCAAATCTATTCGATATGAAGGTGTATTCCATATGGAAAGCGCATATTAAATATTTTTATAAAAGGATTGTGACATGCAAATACCAAACGCTTGTTATTTAAATCGAATACAAACCGGGACCTTTTTAGTATTCAATTAAACGGGTTACTTACATTTACACTTTACAATCTACACTTAAGGACGTACTATGTAAGTAACGTATGTTAATGAGTGAGTCAGTTTCACAGACTCGACGGCAACGAACGTTAATTATCTATAGTTGAGCAATACGGTGACGACTTTACTGACACGTGAATGTAAAAGAAAACAGTGCCGAAAACCATTTGTATCTCACCAAGTGAACGCGCTGCGTTGCCATGAGGTCGCCGCGGAGAGAGAGGCGGCGAACGGAAGTAACGTCGAACTTATAGCGGATCTACTTCCGCATGACGTATTACATTCGCGCCCTGAGTCCTGCCTGTCAGGTGCCAGCGGGCAGCCTGAGCCCCTGAGACTGCGATAACATCCGCTCGCTGCAGCGACCAGAGGATGTCTTATAGCAGGGGCCTCCCCAGTAACAGTATCAGTGTACTTTTTAATATACCTGAAAAAAATGTAGTATTTCACAGAGCATTATATGACCAAAGAATGTCCCTAAACACATTTTGGCGTAAGCAAGAATGGCTGGAGACTTGTTAATTCATAGATATCTTATTATCTGATTCTGTAACGAGATTAGCATTATTATTTCTTTTTTTTTTTACAATGATCCCAATGCTAATTGATTCACTGTTCTAATGATTTCAGGATCTGCTGGCTCGTCTTGGTTCGGTCCGCGGGGACCTTACAGCTCACCTGTCAATGTTATTTTCTACCATTCAGGCTTTCAACCTAAAGTTGATTCATCCATGACAGTCAAATAGCAGACAGGAAAACGGGACTTCAAACTCTCACCACTTGACTCTCAAGCTCAAATGGAAATACATGTACTAAGCGAAACACCACAGGACAATGCGAGGAGGCCTCACTGACTGATTGCAAATCGGTGTCCTTGTTTATTTTACTTCTGGCGGTTGACCTTGGTCAAGCCATTGCTTGCTATTAAGATAGAATTTAGCATAATTTACATGAGCAGAGAAAAACATTCAGTCACATCAGGAGACATTCACTGACTTATATGAGCAGGCAACCCACACCTGAAACACAGGCTTCACCCTGAACAGCTTCGCATTCATCTCTAATATTACCTGCAGACTTTAACGCCATGGTTGGATTGTCGTTTTCAAAATGCTCTTCATTGCGAGTGTATCTGCACAGTATGGGAAGCATGGACATGTGCCACTATCCTACCCGTTGGCTTCCGGCTCAACGGCACTGAACGGAGCATCACGCACATCTGTCTCCCATCACTGAACCTTGGGTTGAAGAGGGATTGAAAAATGCAGCAAAAGGGAAGTTTGAGGGGGGGTTCTGGATTGGTACAGAAATGTGACAGAGTGGAAGTGGTCAGGAGGAGGCAGCACATCTCACGTAGCCTGGTATGACAACGAACCCAACGACAATAAGGAACAATGGGTCGGATCTATTTGTTGGCATAAATGTAATTGGAGCCTTTTTTTCTGCTCCAACCTGATTGTGGTGACGTATGAGAGGAGGCGACGGAATGCAGAAGGAATCACAATGCACTCACAAGTCTGGTGTCTGACACCCAGAACCTTCTGGCCCTGAGAAAGATCCAGGACGATCCCACCACAGATCTGGTGTGGATCGGTTTGCGCTTCCTGGGGGACCGCTGGCTGTGGGTGAGCGTGGGACCCTCTGGAGTACGAGGCCTGGCCCAAGGGAGGGGTCCAGGACCACCAGTGTCCAATGCAGAACCCACAGCGGGGCTTTAGACAGAGAACGGCTGTGGGAGAACAGGGACTGTGAGGAGAGACTCAACTTCATCTGCTATTGAATTTCATTCATGTCACATATGCTTTAGAAACGTCTCACTGCAGGTAACATTCACATCTTTATACGTGATACGAGATAAATAATTTCTGCTTTGAACAAAAATCCCTTCTATTATTGCAATTTATAAACATAATGACAAGTTAGTGACTAGTTTTAGCCACAATTTCTTGCTTCTGTCATTCGAGTCAATATAGAAACTAAAGGCAAAAGGTTCGTTTAGAGCCATAAACCTTTTAATGAGAAGATGTTTTAGAAACATTCAAATATTTTGTCAAATGTTGAATATTTATAAGAATGTCATTGTGTCTGTATGGGTGAGTTGCAATCTGGAACACCAAACCATAATAAAGGAAATTCAAAGTCATTTTGAAAAAGAGGAAAATTTATCGACATTAAAAATCAGCCGGGCCGAGCAAACACACCATGGTCACAGCAGAGGCTCAATGAAGACCGCATGAGAGGAGTTTTGATGGAGATGAGCAAGATGTGCACCAAAAACCATCAAACATGTGTGTAATAATGTCTTCTATTAACCTCTGCCAATAACATCTTCCATTTGGCATCATTTCTAATATCCTATATTTCTAAATATAATCATTTTCAATAGATCCCTTCTTTTCTTATATGAACAGTAATAAATATTTAAAGCGAAGGACTGAACATTGAACATAAAAACAGGGCTTTTGTTTGCTACAACCAATAAATCTGCATCTAGTCTAATATTTACAAAGCCAAGAAGATGCTTGAAAATCTCTCCAGGAAATATTCTTTATAACTTTTAAGAACGCAGAAGCCCAATGATTCAGGTTCTGGAGCTCACAGGAGGGGGAACGACTCCTTAACTAAATCGGAAAGAAAGAATTTTACCTCGTCAAAGAAATATCAACTTAACGTTTAAGGGAAAGTGCAAAGTGCGTTGCTGTTTGTTTCCTAAAAAAAGGATTTCAAATGATAAAACTCATAACCCTGATGCAATTAAAATGCCCGGTCTGAATGTTGTGTCAAAAAAACAGCATCACAGTTAAGTAGCAACGTTGCGAGCGGTACGGCCACCAAAGGCCTTTTTGTCATTTTCTTCCCATCCTGGGTGAGCGCTCGTGATTGTCTGAGCTTGTGTTGAATTAAATAACCAACCTGGCGTTAATTGGTAATAGAAAACCCATTGCTTGAATATATGGCGGAAGCCAGAGCTCTTCCCCCTGCAGAGCTTCCATGTGTGGTTGCCTCAGCACACCAGCCAGCTTGCAGCCTCCCGGTTGTGTTGACGGCCTTTTAAAAGCACCTTGTCGCAGTCGCAGAGCCGCTTTCTTTGGACCTCAGGGGGTCCAAACATAAATAGTGAGAGGAGGAACAAGTTCATTTCACAGCAGGAGTGTCGCTTCAGCCATAGATTGACATTAAGAGGGAGACAAGTGTAACATCTCAGACGTACGGACACAAACAGGCACATTTTCACAAACATTAGAACGACAACCAGTACCTGCACGCACACACATTTATCCACCTGGTTATTATTTCTTTAAAAAAAAAAACTTAGTTGTGCTGCTACACTGTCTCTGCGAGCTCCTCGGCTCCCTTTTCTTCTTTTGCAAGGCTTTGGGGAGGAAACAACGTCCGCCATCGCGCCTCATGTTTCATCCTGTTTTGCTGCGGCCCGTCGGCGATGCTCTTCAGGATTTGAGGCCCATCCGAGCCATCAGCTGCTCGTAGACAGTCCAAGCCATAGCCGCCATCAGGGTGCGGCGCAGAGACCGAGGGACGGCCCCGCGGAAGAACCCCCACGGCGCCGTGCTCCTGAGGGAGAAGACAGACCAGGAGGGAGATCAGCACACCGGTGCCGAGACAAAAGACCACCAGAGAGCTGTGACTGGACGAGCACACACCGTGTAGATGTAGCGGATAGCGTCCATCGTGCTCCAGTGGGATGGGCTGATTTGAATGTGGGTTTTCACCACGTCCGCCGGCTGCGTGGCCAGCGCCGCCATGACGCCCGCCGCCACCCCACAGCTGAAGTTCACCAGAGGGGCATAAGGCGACGACGTCACCTCTGAGACATGAGGGACCAGGAGACAGCAGAGGGGAAGGTTTGTTTTACTACAGTGAATAGAAACGGCGGTCAGGTTTTAATCCAAATGAAATGCAAATATTTACGGAATTTCCAGAAAAAGTGGCAAAAGAGAAAGGAGTTGGTCACTTGAGATCAATGGTGACCGTCTGTTTTGCCATTAAATGATTATCAAATGAAGGCAATAAAATCTCAGACAATGGAAGACTGTGTGGAAAACACGCGATATTCCGTCTCCTCTGGCGACTGACATGTAAGTTCATGTATATCATGATTTATTCGCCTGCTTCCACTGCACATTTATATTTTCACCGGTAAAAAAAAGAAAAGAAAATTGACTCTTGTCAATATCCTGCCTTAAATTATTTATCCTCCGCTCAGACGTTTTAAACCAATCAACTGAGAATGCCAGAAAACAAACTTTTGCTGCCGTATGGGAAAAATGCTTCAGGACGTGTAAACAGCGCTTCCCATTGCGATGCCCTGCATGCTGACGAGCCGCTGCGGCGTGGCTCCTACCTGGAGGCAGCGCCTTCTTGGCCTGGCTGTAGAACATGACGTAGATGCCGGAGAACGGAGCGTCGCGGAGCAGCGTGGCAGTCAGCCCAGAGAACAGGGCCCTGATTCCCTCCGTCTCATACACACTCCTCAGAGCGCCCGCCACACTCCCATAGTTGTAGCAGCCACTCTGAAACAAAATACAAGCATGGAAAATGAATAGGCACATATTTATTGAAAGTGCTGAAGATTGTTATACAAATACATGCATGCTGGGTGCAATGTTCATTTATTGGGTACACGGTGTCTTACTCAGAGATACATGTAGATTCCCTTGAGGCCTTTTGTGTTGCTCAACTTTACAGTTATGTCAGTATGTCAGCCAATGAGTGCTATTACGAAGGCGAACCGATTCATGAAAAAGATGCAGGTGGGCGTGTCATGATCCCTCTTTGTTGCATATGATGTTTCATGCATATACATGGAATTTAGCTCAAAGGAAGTTGTTTTATGTAAAGTAAAATGTATTAAAAAAACTAAAATAAACAGCTTCTAGAGCAGCAAAAAGAAGTGCAGTGTGTGTAGTTTGTGTAAACAGCCGACCATCAGACTGTTTTAGGCTGGATCTAAAAACGGGGATGGCATATTCATGTGACCACACACACACACACACACAAGTCAGCAATTCAACAACACCAATTAAAACATGACTGATCCGAGTACATGGCTCATGCAGCACGTCTCAGGCCAGAGGTCGCTCAAGCGTCACAAGCGTGAGCCGGCGCTCACCTCGAAGCGCGTCTTGATGACGGTGAACGGCAGCATGCAGATGCCGGCCACGGCTCTGGCGCCGGCGCCGAGCAGGACGGCCTCGCCGGCGTTGGGTTCCCGCTCCAGGAGGTAGTGCTGCTTCAGGGAGTAGAAGGTGCTAAAGTAGATGCCCACGCCGGGGATGCAGCGGACAAATGACTGCCAGAGAGACAAAGCCGTGTCCAACATGTTTCGGAATTTGATAATACTGTATAACAGGGGTTATAAACCGCAGAAATTCTTGTAAATGTTGAAAATAAAGCTTGAGGCATTTACTCACAGGTGACACTCCCTTCCACAGACTGAAGAAATTCTCTTTCTGTATAACATTGATTAGAACGGTAAACATCCCCACCTTTGGTGCACTGCAAGATGAAATTCAGGAACGGTTACACACACAGATTCAAAAGGCAGGAAAATAAGAATAAAAACACGAGGGCAGTATAAGATAAAAAAGTTTTGACCCTGAAACATTAATGAGCTAAGGCCTAAGACCTTGGCTAAGACCTGTGGGACATTATAATAAAAATCCCCTTCCAGCAGTCAACCTTTCCTGACAGTGTGATTACACAGTGCTGGTCTGACGAATTGTCCTGTGTGGGTCATAACAGCAGATTCGGGCCAGCACTGCATATCGTTTACTGCCGTGCTGCGTACGTGTCACTTAGTATCTGTAGAGCATGTTGTGTAAAAAGGTGAAGCAAATGAGAGATAACATGAAAGGGGCATGCTGACAGTACATTTCACTGATGCCATGCAGCAGAATTTATGGTGCACGTGTGTTTGCATGTTTATACACAAGAAGTGTGCCAGTTTATTACGTGACACATACTTAATACACACACACACACACACACACACACACACACACACACACACACACACACACACACACACACACACACACACACACACACACACACACACACACACACACACACACACACACACACCCGGACTTTGCATTGTTCTGCAGGGTCTGCAGCCGTGTCTTGATCAGATCCAGAGGCTGGAAGAGCAGCGTAGAGCAGGTGCCGCTGACAGAGCCACACATAAAGGCTTTAAGAGCTGGGTGAGCCTGAGGAGACAGACAGATAGAGGAGGAATGGACAGAGGGACAGAGAAATCAGAGTTATGGACAGAGAAGGTTGTGTTGGAGGATGACATTCAACATACTTTCGTCGTTGGTCTCTTCTTGAAAGCCAAACACTTTCTCAAAAGGGCACGGAAATATTATCCCCAAAAATGCAAATGTTACAAAATCAGAACAGAAATGTAGACCAAGATGAGGATTACGAGTACGTCATGCTGAAATAATGGTTTTGAATACAAATATGCTCATGACATTTGGATTACATAACCCACCCCCCCAAACAAGCCTGTAACACAAAGCAGAGGCCAGGTTCCACATAGTGATGATGGATGATGGGGGATGTACAGAGACAGCCCCCAATACACACACACACACACACACACACACACACACACACACACACACACACACACACACACACACACACACACACACACACACACGGCTGTTGGGTAGAATTAAACTGAGACTCGACATTATCTGTGGTTACACGCCTCAAGGACAAACATGAGACACAAACATGGACCGACAGGCAGCTCAACACTAAAAAGGTTTACACTTCCATAACAACAATACGTAAACAGGTAAAGGAACATTTTCCTCATCAAGACAAACACAAAATAAAATGTCAGCACCACACATTCTTAGTGTACCATGTGCCACTTTAATGCATGCATTAGGACACAAACACACACTCCTACCTTCCTGCCCGGGGCTCTGCTCTGAGGAACCTCTTTGTCCTGCATTCTGCCCTCCTTCTCCCTCTCTCTATTTGGTATGCTGCTATTACAAATAGCATATTATACAATACACGTCCATCAGCTCGCAAACCTTCCTCCCATCTCTCTCTCACTCTACTGACGATCCACAATGGCTGGCCTCCTGCTTCTCTTCCTACCCCCACCCTGATTCACAACTAGAGCTTTTCCTGTGGAGCTCTATCTTCGTTTTAAAGGGAGGACACCCCCCCCCCCCCTCCCTCACAAAGCTCACTGCTAAATTGCATCTTTGTCAAACAGCATGAGTCATGAAGTGTGTGTGTGTGTGTGTGTGTTTTTAGAGGAAGAGAGAAAGACCCCCATCTTTCCGGCCACTATAAGACATCCTATATTTTCTGAGTCCAACATATCTGAATATTTTCATGAAATAAAAGTGTTGCTGTTGGAAAGTCTATTCTTGCATTACTAAAGTGCATATCATTTGCAGAGGGTGTGCCCTGTTTAGTGTCATTCTCAAACTACACTAAAGAAAGGCAAAAAAAACACATTAGCCTTTATCTCTGGGACAATAAAGTGACTGCATACCAACTGAGATTGGCTTGTGCCGTTTTGAAAAGGGCGCTCCTGGACTGATGCTCCCCGCAGCCACAAGGAGGCGCTCGCTGTCTCAATAAATGACGTATCAGCATTGCTCACATGCTAGTTTTAATTGTTCAGGTTGGAACAGGCACTGGTAGTATGGTCGGTCAGTGAAACGGTTGAAGGTGACAAAATATATCTGCAACATATTGTTATAAGGTCACACACACACACGCACGCACCCAAACACATAAAGAGCAGATCGGCTGCTTTAAGTGTTTTCTCATAACAAACAGGTGTCCGCAGCTGCACTCACCGATGCTGACTCCATCTTCGACCGGGATGCAGAGTCCTTCTTCTCCCCCGGTGCTGCCGTTTTGAAGCTGGTTGATTTCAGCCAACGTAACTGAAAGAAAAGGAGACCAGACGACAGCCGCGAGTCACTTTATAATACAACGTGGTCGTTTACAAAAGGTCCTGTGAAGGCTGTAGCACGATTAGCTAACTAGCTTCCCGAGTAGCATGGAGATACGGGACCGGTAACGTCGCTATCACATCAGCCTCTTATGAGATGCTAACGTCGGCATCCGAGTGAGGCACTAGCGACTGTTACAACAAAAGGGGGGGGGGGGGGGGGGGTCACTTAAAAACCCAATACGACAAATCCCGCCAGTTTACAGGATCGCCGAAGCGTCACTACGGCAGATAACACAATGTTACTTGACTAACGTTAGCCAGCAACAGTAGATTGCTAACTTAGCATGGTAGCTGTCATTACCTGACTTTGATGTGTGTCAAGGGTTGATGCAGGTGACGGTCACATCTGCCAGCTTCAGGTGCGCCATGTTTATGATTTACAGCGACAATCCGAAGTCCCAAAATAGTCTTACGGTTGCAAACACTGTTACCGGGCTAATTGCAGAACTTTCTGGCGATGTTCGTCAGCTAGCTATCCAACAGCAGTGTTAGCACACCCTAGTAACGTTATCGCAGTTATTCAGCTGCAGTCTACGTTGCGGTGTGTAGCTGTAACGCTGTTAACGCTCGGGCGTGGGTCGTATCCCGGGTTGGGTAGAACGTATGAACCCCGGTGATAAATGTTACACAACAGGGACCGCCGTTATCACCACACGCCGCGCTGCTGTGACCGCTAGCGTCCGGCTAGCAAAGTTCACCTCCAACACGCATCCTCTCCCCGGGTCACGCGCACTCACCAGGCGGCCTGCCCACCACCTCGGGCAGGCCGCCTGGTTTATACTTCGTAAGACACCATTTTCACGGTGTAAAAGAACGGTTCGCATGCTGTTTTAGGTAGAACTATTATTTTTAAACCAACCGGTATGTGAATTCACTGCATCTCTCCCAGTGGCCTCAAGGTGTCGCTGTTGTACCGTGTATTGTAAAATGTCAGTGTACCGAAGCGAAATGGAATAATCCAGAGTGAATGTAATGATTTGAATTAGAAGCCAAAAATGCAACCTCCCCAAAAATATATTTTAAAAGTGCCGATGTGTAACGACCATTATAAATTCCAAAAGTGTTTGATATATACATTAATGAATACAGAAGGGATTTTTTTTTATGCAAGGACTTTAATTTAGTTTTGAATTAACATTTACAGTCTGCCTCGGGATTAAATTGAATCCCATCGCAGTGTGGCTTAGTATCCGTCAAGGTTAAACTTTTTTTTTTTTTAATTGCTCTTCAATGGGTAATGTAGTGCATAAATCAACAGGCTGATTACGTTGGACTACTAGGATTCATCGCTTAAGGTCCGATGCCGTACACACGAGACAAATCCTATCCAAGCAAACGACATTAAGAAAACCTGCAATACTTCACAAAACTGACAAATGTTGTTCAGAACGTCACCCTCTGATCCGAATCTACTTTTGGGTTCCAAAAACTAGGGGTTGGGATAAATAAAAAGTTAGGCGATGTTTAGTTTCTGTTAAAAGTAAAGAAAAAAACTTTTCAAATTGACAGTCACAAGAAACAAGGAATTCAAATGAGTTTGATAATTTTTCAATTTATTGCATTTCAGGCATTTGTTGAAATATAGATTAGCCTTAAAATATTGGCATCAATATGACATGTAATGGATTTGATCATATACCGTTACAGTATCAGACATGGAAACATTCAGAGGTTAGTGTGCCAAAAGAAACCCTCTGCTGTGCAAAGCGCCAAACATAGTATAGGGAGATACAACATGATGTCCCTCCATCAGCAATGAAGTGTAAAATCAGAGAATTATACGTAAAGCAAGCGATCATTGATGGTACAACATTTCCACAAACTTATTAACCAAAATTTCTGCACTCGTGTTCGTTGTGTCCCGTGTTGGCTTTGAGCAAAATTGGGTGCCCTAATAACCTGAAAGGATGACACGTGGGGAGGAAAAGCCTCCAGTACAAATACAGATGTATGCAGACAATAGAAAATGTGAACTAATGTTTGGAACTGCATCAAAAACTACCCAAAGACCCATATTTGTGTGCAAACAAGCATAAAATGTCCAGTGTTTCCCTCCCAAAGTTATACAGCAACTGCATACAAAGTTGCAATGGCTTGTTACAACCGTGATAATATATATACCCATTAAGTAGAAAAAGTTTGTAAAAGGTTTAGAAAAACTGCTCACATTGAGTCTAAATACATTTTCTTTTGGTCAAATATAAATTTCATGGAAAGTAACAATAAGACTATGTAATAACAAACGTTACAGGGAATACATGGCTAAATCCTCTAAAAAGTCTTTTATGTCATAGTCTTTTACTTCTAAAAACGTTATCTGCATGTTGACTGGTCATGGTATTATCATTGTTGTTGTTGTTCTCCTCTTGTCCCTGCGTTCACTCGGCTGCAGGTTCAGGCGTTTCAGTCTTTCCCTCCACATCGTCATCGCTGTCCAGGCCAGTGCGATTTACGATACGTCGCATATTCAAAGGCACATCCCCACGTCTTTAAAACAAAATAGTCGATTAGACAGTCAGCTCTTGCCCACAGTCATACAAAGATGTTTCAATTAATATGTAAAAAATAAATGCACCAAGACGCTTTATACAACAATAAAAAGGGGCCTGTACCTGAGCTTGCTCTTCAGAGCGCTGACTTCCCGGTTCATAGAGTCTGCAGATTCATTGGCATCCTCGAGCTCCCTCTGCATCTTTCTACGTTGGGCGTTAGATCGGGTCACCTCCTCCTCCGCCTCTTCCAGCTGGCGCTTCAGCTGGCGCATACGTACATTTGTCTTCTCCGCCTGCAGAGACGGGGTTCACTTAGTGAGGAGAGCACCAGTGCAAATCGCAGTTTAAACAGAGGTCTCAAGTCAGGAACAAGGCAAACAACAAGACTACTCTGACCTTCCTTTTCTACAATCAGAAAGTATAAAAAAAAAATAATAAAAAAAACTGGCTTACCTGGTCTTTGTATTGTTCTGTGTTGCGCCTCTCGTCATCAACCATTAGCAGAACTTCTTTCAGCTTCTTCTCTGTGCGCCTGGTCAACCGGCTGGCCTGCTGGCGCTCTCTGAATGGAGCAGGGGATGCAGCACAGGGCTTTAAGTCACTGATAACTCAACCATATCAGTCAGTACTAAATCAAGGACACTCAATTGAAATTTTAAGAATGTGTTTGTCACACCAAAAAGAAAATCTCTCGTCAAACGATTGTCGTTGCTGTAAACAAGAGGCGGTCATTAGAACCGCCGTGGTAATTTGGTAAACTAGTGCTGTCCCCTGCACTCACTTTGACTCGATGTCCAGCTGTTCTTCCAGCAGAGCGATTTTTGACTCCAGGGAGGTGATGGAGGACTTGTACTTTGACTTGATGGTCCCCTCCAGCTCCTGCAGCTTCAGTTTCATCTCCTTGTTCTGGCGATCGAGCTGGGAGCGAGCCCCCTCCAGCCGCAGGGAGCCGCTGCGTTCTTCAGCCAGCTCCGTGGTCATCTGCTCCGTCTAATGCCGGAAACACGCAGTGGAAAAGCATAGTCGAGTAATCCAGTCGCCGTGGGAATTCTTCTTACAAAGTGTTATTCATGTTTGGCACTAATTGTGTTGTTGTTGTTGGTGTTGGCAGTCCAGCAGACTAACTTTTACATGGATTTCACCCTGATACAAAAACGCATTCCTTGATGAACAGGTCTACGGTGCCTCGTGTCCGTACCTGCAGGACGGATCTCTTCAGACGATCGTTGACCATCTCTGTGTTGAGCTGCTCTTCCTCCAGTTCCTCCTCCAGCTGGGTGATACGAGCCTCTAGCCTCCTCTTGTCCTCTGCCAGCACCGAGCTGCAAACGAGTGAGGAAGAGAAGCAAGGGGAAATTACAGATGTCCTTTGTTGCTTTTAAAAATATGATTCAGTTATCTGTAGTCTTGGGCTGCATTTTACTCGTTTTATTTCAATACTATCTCTGGGTTCATACTTCTTGGTGTTGGTGCTGCTAATCTCTTCCTGGAGCTCGTCTCGCTCGGCCTGAACTTGTTTCTTGACTTTCTCTGCAGTGGCCAAATCCTGGAGGAAGAAGAAAGAAGTTTATACTTTAAAGCTATTTCAGATGCTGTTGGGACAGTTACCTGGAAGCAATGTGCTCCATGGTACTGAATAGAGTCAGCGCTCCAATGCCCCTCTAGTAACACTCACACCACAAAGTGTGCATTCAGTAACATTATCTTCAAGGGTCTTTGGGACTTTTTAAATGAAAAAAGCCCCCCCTCAGGAAACAAAACAACCCTCAACCCTGCAGGCAGTGTTCAAATAAAGTTATGTGCCAATATCAAGGGATACCCAAATTAAATTGCTTAAATCCCAATTATTAGATTTTGCATATTTACTGTCCCATGTAATACACCTCATCTATAATATCTGGTGAGTGTGAGTCTGAGAAACTGTCCAAAACAGGTACTTTCCCCCCCACATTCAGTCGGGTGTCCCATCATTACGGTCATACCTCTTGGAAGTGCAGGGCGTCTGCCTCCATGGCCCTGAGCTTCCTCTCGGTTTCCTTGGCGCCGTTGACTGCTTCATCTCGGGACAGACGCAGCTCGTCCAGCTCTCTCATCTGGTCCTTCATTAGAGCCTATGGCGCAGACATGAAGACACACACAGCGTTGCCGTTAGACACCAATCAGTGTGGGCAAGGACTGCCTACTCACTTCTTATGCGGCACAAGGACCAAACTAATTTGTTTCATTAGTTATTTGTCCCAGTGAAAGACTGAACTTTAGGGGACAAGATCTCATTTTATGAGTTTGTGTAAACCAGCTCACCTATATTCCCAATGTTGTGGTTTATT